GTTAGTGGTCATCTTGTGTCCAGGGTCCAGGGCTGTGACCCCACTTTCCCGGGCGGCACACTCTTGGGGGCTTTCGTCCACCTCTGGGGTGGGAGGGGGCATCAGGCGAGGCACACTCAAGGGACAGAACCCGAAGCCACGTCACACGTCTCCTTCACCTGGGAGAGAGAAGGGGACCCTGCTGGGGGACAGCATGGGGAAGCCGTCACACAGGCTCAGGGCTGCCAGGCGCAGGAGGCTCACCCCAGGTGCGCCCCGCAGGGTGGGGTTGGTGCAATGCGGAGGGTCTAACAGATTCGCTCAACCGCAGATCGGCAGGGGGGTCCCCGCGGGTCCCTGGCCTGCCCCTAGAGCAGCTCAGACACAGCCTGGTGACAGCCGGGCGCTGGAGAGGCCAGGGGGTGACTCAGGGAGTTGACGGACTCACAGGGCAAATGCCTCGGACAGCCACAGCCGGGGCGGGTGAGCGCGGCTCTCCCCTTCCAAGGGAGCTTCTGCTGGGGCGTGGGCTGGAGCTGGAGCAGGGCCCTGACCCGCGAGCAGCACGGCGGCCCCTGTGCTCCCAGTGATGGCATCCTCCCTCCCTGTCCCCGAGCCGTCCTCGCTTTCTCCGGGAAGATACAATTCCTGCCGCTAGAGCCGGGACACAAGACACACGCACCCCTGACACTCCACACTGCGTGGCCGTGTGCCCGGGACGTTTGCAAAGGCAGAGTGGCGGCGGTGTCTCTCGGCGCGAGCTGCTAGAAGCCTTTCGTGCTTCTGTGTGACACAGGTGGCGGGGCAGTCCCCCTGTCCTTTGTGGGGTGGCTCTGGCTCTGCGTGCTCAGGCTTTCTTTGCGGAGGGGGTCACAGCCTCCCCGGGCCAGAATGTTCTCAGAGCACCCAGGGGTGAGCTTGTTTGTGGAGGCTCCTCGAGACCCAGGCAGGAGGCCGGGACTGCGTGGTCGTCACCATCCACGGCTCCCACGCGGGGGCTGCAGGCAGAGTGAGCCTGCGCCGTAGCACGGGGCCGGTCAGAACGGGCTTCCCTCCATACCTTACGTGGGGAAAATGCACGGGCCCACCCCATGAGCATCAGGTTTCCAGGCCTTGGTGCTGATCAGTTATAAATACAAAAAATATGGAAATGCAAGGTGCCTTTGGTGTCATGTCGCCAAGACTGGTGTGACTAGGCAGGGGCCCTCAAACTTTATAAACAGGGGGCCAGTTCACTGTCCCTCAGACTGCTGGAGGGCCGGACTATAGCTTAAAAAAAAACTATGAACAAATTCCTATGCACACTGCACGTATCTTATTTTGAAGTAAAAAAACAAACGGGCAAAAAAACAGCCACATGTGGCCTGCGGGCCATAGTTTGAGGACGCCTGGACTAGGGGCCTCCTCGAGGAGCCACAGTGGACCGGAGAGGAGCCCAGGGTGTAAGGTCAGGGACAGCTGGAGTGTGGCCTCCCCTCAAGGACAGACCCCTTCTCTGCTCTCTTTTTCCTCGTTCTGCCCTTTCTTCCTCGAGTTCACCGTGGAAGGGAACGGGCCTGAGCCAGGGGTGGAGACGCCGGCGTGAGCTCAGCGTGGGGCCTGGAGCACCAGCATCACGCCTGGAGGTGGGGCCGGGCCCAGGAAGGGCCACCGGGAGGCCCGGGCTCCCCACGCCCTGCCCGGGAGTCCCAGGCCAGCGGGAGCGGTGTCCCTGAGCAGCCGGCTCCCCGCCGGGCCGAGGGGTTTCCAACTCACCAGCTCTCGGCCCGTCTCTCAGCCCTCGTCTCCAGGCCCCTGGCCTCCCCCCACCCACCCTCCGCTCCTGCCTCTGGGTGTCAGGGCCTTCCTGGGGTTCCCTGCTTCTCAGCGGGGCCTGCCCTCTCTCCTGGGGATGGTACAGAAGTTGCACTGCGCTGACTTCCACCATGTTTCCATCATCCTCCATCCTCCATCCTGCGTCCTGCCCTGCCCACCGAGCCCAGCGCCCTGCCAGTCTGACAGCGGAGAAACCCTCTGGGTCTTTGTCTGATTAAATTGCCATAGCAACTAAACTGGGGCGACAGTGACTAACAGCTCTGCCTCCCAAGGGACATGGTATCACCACTCTGCAGTGGGATTTACAGAATTTTCCCAGTGACTCTTCATGCGATGGGAGAATTGGGGAAATGTTGGAACAGAGGAAGACCATGCCCCAAACGCCAGGCCAGCAGCTAGATAGATGTCCATCCGTCCATCCTTCCATCCATCCACCTGTGCAGTCATTCACCAGCATTGATGAATGAGCGCTGTGTCCACACGTGCTTTCCCAGTGAATTAACTAACGAGCCAGTAATGACCCGGGGGGTCGGGCAGTTGCTCGAGGTGGGCATCAGGAAAGGATACCGTCCGGATACTGTCTACCTTAGAAGGGGCCAGCGCCGCGCTTCAGACTGACGCCTCACCCCCTTCGCTCCGTAGGAATTTTCCGATCAGAGGCATCCAGTTCTACGACGGCCCGGTCAACATCCAGAACTGCACTTTCCGGAAGTTCGCGGCGCTGGAGGGCCGGCACACCAGCGCCCTGGCCTTCCGCCTCAACAACGCCTGGCAGAGCTGCCCGCACAACAACGTGACGGGCATCACCTTTGAGGACGTCCCGGTGAGTGGGGCGCCTGGGCGGGCTCCCGGCAAGCCCAGACTCCGGGCGGTGACTCACGGCTCCCGGGGCCGGCCGGGGCTGGAGCTTTGCCGGTTTGCGCCGGCTCCCAGCTGGAAAAGTACAAGAGCAGGCCGCCCGCGGGTCGGGCCTGGGCGGATGCCCGCCGCCCTCACCCTGCCCAGAGCCGGGTCTTGCCTTGACGGGCGGGCGGGCGGGCGGGCGGGCTCTCGTGCCCAGGCCGCCGGGGCTGGCACACATGGCCCCAGCAGTTCCCAGGGGCGTCATTGCCGCAGGCTCTCCGTTCAGTCTCTCCCGAGAGTGGGATGTGAACGCGGCCCCTGGCCCTGGGCAGCGCTGGCACGGCAGCAGCCCGGGGTGAGCCCGGCCTTTGCTCTGGGCTGCGGGTTCGCGGAGCCCCCCCTCCTGGTTCCCGGCAGGCTGCGGGGAAGGCGTGGAACTTAAATTACTTAATTTCCTCACTCCGGTCGGCGCCGAGGGCCTGAAAGAGGCCGGTCACGGGAACGTCCAGGGCTCCTGCTGCAGGCAGGCTCCCCGAAACAGCACGTGCTCTCGCCACGTCTGCCCGCCAGGCGTGCGTGTGTGGGCGTGTGCAGTTTCTCACGCACACGTGCACCGTCTCGCTCCCTCACGCGCTCACACCCGCACTCCTGAGCCCCCACTCTGCACCTGGGAAGCCGCGTGTCCCTTAGTCCCTGCTCCCCGCGGCAGCCAGCCCCGGGGGGGAGGGGGGAGGTTGGGCAGAGGCCAGGGCTGCGCCGTGCGGGGTCTGGGACTCGGGCCCGCTGAACCTTTGCCCTTGGCGCGGCTGCTAGTCTGCGAGGCCAGCCCTGCGAGCTCTCGCCCCGCGCCCGGGCGTGCCTTTGCTTTGGCCGGTCGGCAATGTCAGCGGAAACCGGAAACCTCGCCCGGCCTGGTGACGGCCGCGGTTTCCCTTCGCCCGGGCCCGGCCTGACGCTCCCGGGCGCTGTTCAGATCACTTCCAGAGTGTTCTTCGGAGAGCCGGGGCCCTGGTTCAACCAGCTGGACATGGACGGGGACAAGACGTCCGTGTTCCACGACGTGGACGGCTCCGTGTCCCAGTACCCCGGCTCCTACCTCACCAAGCACGACAACTGGCTGGTGCGGCACCCGGACTGCATCGCCGTGCCCGACTGGCGGGGCGCCATCTGCAGCGGGCACTACGCACAGGTGGGCGCCGCGCCGGCCGGCCGCTCGCTCCCTCGAGTGGCAAGCGTTTATGGAGCGCCTGCTGTATGTCAGGGTCCGTGCCGGGCCAGAAAGGGACACACAATTCTCTTCTCTTTTTTCTTTTCTTCTTTTCTTTTTCTTTTCTTCTTCCCTTTCCCTTTTCTCTTTCTTCTGTTCTTTCTCTCTCTCTCTCTAAATTAATTTTATTCATATTTCATTTAACAAAGTATTCTCAAAATACTATCGTCTCACTATTGTAATCAATATAAAAATCATTAACGAAACATTTCACATTTTTTGTCAGTTCTAAGTCTTCAAAATTTACCATATGTTTTATACTTATAGCCCACTTACTTTTAAACAAAGTGAAATGCAGTTCTACCAAAGCAATAAGTTTGTGTTTAATGGAAAAAACAATTTTTAATTTTTATATTTTTATTGATATGTCATAGTCGTATATGCTTTTGGAGTACATGTGATATTTTCATACATGTACACTATGTGTAATGATCAAACAAGGGTAATTCAGACAGGAAAATATATTTTACACTGCTTTTGTTTTGAAAATAATTTTTTTTTTTTGAGACAGAGTCTTGCTTTGTTGCCCAGGCTAGAGTGAGTGCCGTGGCGTCAGCCTCGCTCACAGCAACCA